ATCGCCACGCGATGTTGCAGAGACGTGTCAGCCAAGACAGTCCTACAACATCCAGAGACTTTAGATAGTCAGGACGGATCTCATCCACTCCCGGCGCCTTGCCACCATGGAGGCTGCCAACCACCTTGGTGACCTCGGCCAGGGAGATGGAAGTATCCGCCCCAACATCCTCAGCCTCTGCCTCCTGGACGGAGGACGTGACGGGGGGATTGAGGAGAACCTCGAAGTATTCCTTCCACCGCCCGACAATATCCCCAGTCGAGGTCAGCAGCCCTCCACCCGCACCATACACGGTGTTGGCAAAGAACTGCTTCCCCCTCCTGAGGCGCCTGACGGTTTGCCAGAACCTCTTCGAGGCCGACCGATAGTCATGCTCCATGGACTCTCCGAACTCCTCCCAGTCCCGGGTTTTTGCCTCTGCAACAGCCCGGGCCGCGGCACGTTTGGCCTGCCGGTACTGGACAGCTGCCTCAGGAGTCCCACGAACCATCATTGCTCGATAGGACTCCTTCTTCAGCCTGACGGCATCCCTTACTGCCAGTGTCCACCACCGGGTTCGGGGATTGCCGCCGGGACCAGCACCAGAGACCTTGCGACCACAGCTACGAGCCGCCGCATTGGCGATAGAGGAAGAGAACATGGTCCACTCGGACTCGATGTCCCCCTCCTCTGCCGGGACCTGGGAGAAGCTCTCCCGGAGGTGTGAGTTGATAGTCCGTCTGACAGGGGGCTCACCAAGACGTTCCCAGCAAACCCTCACTACACGCTTGGGCCTGCCAGGTCTGACCGGCCTCCTGCCCTGCCAGCGGATCCAACTCACGACCAGGTGATGATCGGTTGACAGCTCCGCCCCTCTCTTCACCCGAGTGTCCGAGACACGCGGTCGAAGGTCAGATGATACGACTACAAAGTCGATCATCGACCTCCGGCCTAGGGTGTCCTGGTGCCACGTGCACTGATGGACACCCTTGTGCTCGAACATGGTGTTTGTGATGGACAGGCCGTGACTGGCACAGAAGTCCAACAACTGAACACCGCTCGGGTTCAGATCAGGGGGGCCGTTCTTCCCGATCACCCCTCTCCAAGTGTCACTGGCATTTCCCACATGGGCGTTGAAGTCCCCCAGGAGAATAACTGAGTCCCCGGGCGGTGCACTGTCCAGTACCCCTCCCAAGGACTCCAAGAAGGCCGGGTACTCTGCACTACCGTTAGGCCCGTAGGCCGTCACAACAGTGAGAGACTTGTCCCCCACCCGGAGGCAGAGGGACGCGACCCTCTCATTCACCGGGGAGAACTCCAACACGTGGCGGCTGAGATGGGGGTCAATGAGTATGGCCACCCCAGCTCGCCGCCTCTCCCCGCGGGAAACACCAGAAAAGTGGAGCGTCCAACCCCTCTCAAGGAGTTGGGTTCCAGAGCCCAAGCTGTGTGTGGAGGTGAAGCCGACTATCTCTAGTCGGTATCGCTCAACCTCCCCCACAAGCTCGGGCTCCTTCCCCCCCAGTGAGGTGACGTTCCACGTCCCAAGAGCCAGATGTTGGGTGTGTGGACTGGGTCGTCGAGGTCTCCGCCTTCGACTGCTGCCCAGTCCTCTCTGCACCTCGCCTTATTTGATGTGTGCAATCTGAGTGCTCTTATTTCTTTTCTCTGCTGTAATGTGCGCAACGATGACACTGAAATTGAGACTAATAAAGGTTCTTCTTATCTTATCTTATCTTAACAAGTACGCAAGGGCTCATAAATAAAAACCCCTGACTTGTATTGGCCATCACAGAAAATCTGTTTAAAACGTCCGTACACAACGTTATGGCTTACAAATGCATATCAACAAAGCCCAAAGACCTCTTCGTGTACGTCACTTCCGGTCTCGGCAATTTTTCCGCGAATTTCTTTTTGCATGATAATTATTGATTGAAACCGCTAAGGGTGAAACTATCTGTCAAAATTTATTTTATTTAACACAAGAAAATACCACAATATACCAACAAAATAAGAATAGGTCCCTTTTAAGCATTCTTTTAAATGCAAATACTGATATACAGGATTTTAAGTAATAATTTAAAGAGTTCAGTACCTTGTACTTCTTAGTTTGCATGTATCGTACACAGGTCATTATCGGAAAATAAGTACCGACAGGGCGAAGCAGCACGTCGAGGTCTGCTTATTATGCGGCTTTGTACCAACAGAACACACACAATAAACTTCAGTCCACTACTAGGAATGCCAAAAGGTTTATTTACTGACAGAAAATAAAATAGTTCCCAAAGGCTTTCCCGCTGCTATGCGAGTAACAGTTAGGCTAGCAACTTCCAAACTAGAACTCTCTCGAACTGCATGAAAACTGAACGAAGAATTCTGAACATCAGCGGTGAGTGACCCAAACATAAACCTAACCTAAATCCATAATTCGATCCTCTCCTTTTGTCATGAAAACGTTAACAGAAAATTCTGAAAACCTTCGTGCACTTGTATTAAGACTGAATATGTATAATGTATTCTCCGATTAACATTCAATCGTGTTGTTTGATAGGTATTTACGTTCATGGAGCGTGGCTAGCTCCGGAGTGGCCGGAACTACTTGCGGCGCAATCTACACACATGAATTACAAACAGAGAGTGCGTTGCCATGGGCAGCGGTCATTAGGGTTTTGAGAGGTCCGTTATAAGAAATAATGACCGGTAGAACGTTTTGAAATTACGTTCAAATCAATGGAGCGTTCTACTGCTGCTGTGAGGAGCCGTGTAATAAGCATGAATAAACCCCAGCAGACTTGGTCTTCCAGTTTGAATTTGCGCTTAAGCTTCATTTGTCTTGCACTCACTGGCCACAACTGCAAAAACTGTTCAACATGCAGTGCAGTGTAGTAGATGCAGTGTTTGACATTGTCCCATCAGAATTAATTCCTGGTTTATCTCCCAGGGTAGAATCCCTGTACAGCAGGCGTGGGGACTGGGGAGGTAACTTTCCAGGCATGTATGCTCATTCAGATAAATGAGCTGTGCTCATTGGCTCATACTTGACGTCCCAAACATTAGCACGAGTTACGCATTCTGGCCAGCTCTGGTTCTCCCGGTCCTGCCCAGTAGGTGTGCCGAGTAGCTGCATTCCCACTGCCTACTAATCATAACAGAAAGACATGGAGATACATAGCAGAACACGGTACAAAATCTCCCGCCGTTGGCACAAGGCAAAACAGAATCTCTAGCAGCAAGGGCTTTAGAACATTACTGCATCATGTGAAAAGCTATTCATATATTGTTATTGTTCGAACACTTTAGCAAGAAATTCACTCTAGATCATGGAGGTGGGGGCAAAAAAACGATTCTGTTCAGTATCATGACATTTTGCGCATGCAATTAAATTGATACAGTGGACTAAAGTATTGCAATATTTATTTAAACAATTATCTCTGAGTTTACTCTGGTAATGTACCATTCATGTGGAAGGTCGTCTATTCAGAGAATAATGATGTCTTGTCCAACAGGACAAGCCACAGGCATAATGTCCTGTGTCCTGAATGATCGTAATCTTTATTTATATGGCACATGAGTTGAGCAGTCTTATTTTACTGAATTTATGTAAGGACTTTGAATATTATCCATGTTAGACAACATGGAGGGAACGTCTATTAAAACGTGTCTCGCATATCACCAGAATGATTGACAATTAGGAGGACCAATAGTTTAGAAGAAAATACTCTCATACATCTTTAAGAAAAAAAGAAACATACAAATCATACAAGGCATTCACAACACAAATAATCATATATAAACAAAACATACAATCCATCAGTTGTATGTGCCGCTAAACAGAAGTGTTTTAACCTGGATTTGAATATTGGAGAGTAGAAGCCTGTCTGTAATGAGTTGCTTTCCACTCGTGCTTTTACGTAAGAACAAGAACACACACACGTACGGAGGGGAGGTAGTGAAGGAACCGAGCAGGGAGCGAGTGAGAGCAGAGCAGAGGAAGAGGAGGGGTCGCTGTGTGGATGCATGAAGCAGCTCAGAACCACAGTGTTACCACGGATGCACCGACTCAACGCTTCCCCATTTAAACACGGATCACCGCACACAGGGGAACAGCTACTGCGCACACGGGAACGACCACCGCACTGTCGGCTCATGGAGTAAACCACCGACATGGGCATGGAATGACACAAGGACAGACGCGTCAAGGATTCTATATACAGATGGGATTACAGAGCCAAAGAACGGGCAGCGTAATTTATAGGCACAGAGGCTGTGTTTTATAGACACAAAAATCAATCCACGGGAGCTATTTTTTGCGAGCAGCTCTGAAGGATCTATAGGTGGGATAAAGTGACCGACTGTGTGTTTTTTCTTGTGGAAATTTGGATTCACATCTCTTATTTGAAAATTGGGACAAGACCAGAGAAGATGTGTCTAGACATTCAAGAATGATTGAATGAAGATTTTTTTTACATAAATGCTGGATAAGTATGAAAGAAAGCTGCACCATTGTTTTTTTTTTTATGAGAGAGAATAAATGGTTTGGACCGAATTTGAAAAAATCATTTGAAGAGAGTGGGATTCTAATACCTGTGTCTTGATCATAGATTAGCTTCCAACAGTGGAGTAATAGATGCTACAATTCCGGATACTTCACGACTATCAATAAAACATTGAAGGAATCTATAAAAACTCAAGGGAGACACCCCTGTGGTTGTCTACTCACAGCTGGATAGGACCAAACTCCATGGTTGGTGTTCTCAGTGTTGATTTCTGTAAGGACATAAACAAGTTGAATGAGTATATTTTTAAACTAAGACCCTTGCATTTTTCACCTGGAGAACAGATTCTTGGAACTTTACATGTTTGATTGAATTACTTCTCAGCTATGCCCTTGTTTTGCCCACTCCTCAGTGGTCTCTAGCACCCCGTTCCCTTTCAGCCGGACGGACCAGTGGTGGTAGGGTTTACAGAAGCGAGAAAATATGAGTGTATCCATGCTGAAGATAGGGGCGGTGCTTAGCACCATGGCTATGGTGACCAACTGGATGTCACAGACGCTACCTTCGCTTGTGGGGCTCAACGGCACCATTCCTGAGGGCACCGCAGAGAGATTTGTCAGCGTAAGTTCATGTTTGTCTTCCTCTTAAAGTCATCTGTGTAATTTTTCTGATCTGTGTCAATGCTTTTTTATGAGCGTTCCCCATGTCATAGCAATTGCATCTACAGTATATCGATTTTATTCTGTTGATTTTTATTGCTTTAACATAAACAAGATATGCTGCATAATCTTGTCTGTGTAATTGTTACAGTTGCTCCATATGAAAAAACATGATAACTAATAATAAATGTGACCTTTTTATGAATATTTACCTCCACCATGTTTTTGTAATTGTTTTCATAGTCTTAGAATTCAACTTATAAATGTCCATGAGAGAGGAGTGCAAAAAGGTTCTACTGCTGATATCGTTGCTTTCACCGTGCACTCACAAGTTTGAAAAAGGAACCATGGAGGACCAGTTATGTAAAAGAACGACCCGAAAGACAATCTCATAAAATAATTATACAAAAGTCTGTCGTCATACAGCAAACTGTTAACTTCGCAAACCACACGCGCCGAAAGACAGAGTTAAAACAACAGGACTCACACATGAACAATACGTAATTTTTTCACACTGACAATAATAAGAACGAGGCAGAATCTGCAGCACAGTCTCAGCATGTTCTGACCCGCTCCGAGCGCAGTCCAACTCCTGTTACAAGTTTCAACTAAACTTATTCAGTGAAAAGCCTCAAATAAAAAACACAGAATCCCCACAAAACAATCGCCAGAGTACTTTATCAGCTGCATGAGTGAATGTTCTGTTTTCTTACCGTGATGAAGTTAGGGCGTTGTGGCTAACGCTAATAATAAGCTTGTAGCCATGTCCTGCTTCTCTGATCATCGTAGTTTTAAGCTCCTGTAGACGTTAATCCTCCATGCGTCTCTTCTCTTCATTCCGCGTAAAACTATATATTATAATAGATCCATGGTAAAACTCAGTAGGGCCTCTGTGCAGCGGGTGCAGCTTTAGAACGCGGTCTTGTTTACAGGGACCAACGTCACATACATAGACGATTACAGGACACTAGTCACAAGTACATAGTTGCATAGAACCAAGAGCTTCAACCAAAGAAAAAGTGGGATTACAAATAAACATTCACTTGGGCTTTAGCACATCAATACATCCAAACAATTGCACATTCCCTACAGGGCTTTCGTATTGCACTGCTCTTAATTTCCTCAAACAGTGTATATTGGATTTCTCCAATTGGCCATAGAATAGTTCAGTTAATATTGCCTTGTCTAAAATAACTGTTGCAGTCCCCCAACTGGCCTTAACGCATTAAGTTAATACATATGCTGTAAGATTGTGCTCATGTTGTCGTACTCCATTTTTATTTATTATTTTATGTTATATCTATAATTGAAATGCATGAAGGTATAAATGAGGATTTGTATCTATTACACTGGGGTATCCTGTACCTTTTGTCTGAGAACATGAGATCAGATTGATTAGTTAAAGAAGCTATACCCGTTTTTGCAAGGCTTGAATGTTTAGTACCGCCCCTCAACTCGCTCACAGGCTTCTCATTTACAGTACCCTACGCTCTGATTCCATAGAGCCATCTAGTTGTATTTGCTATCTGACACGTACGCAAACATTAGCATGAGCGCAACTTCTTGTAAGCTGTACAACAATCACTGATGAAATGGTACAAAAGCAACGCACTGCTAACAAAATATATAACTGAAAGATTACCGCTAGTTTCTAGGTCTCTCCCTTAGATTGTAATCTCTCCAGAAGATACGATCCGGGCGGCACGGTGGCTGAGTGGATAGCACTCTCACCTCTCAGTAAAAAGGTCCTTGGTTCGAATCCCGGCCGGACAAGGGCCTTTCTGAGTGGAGTTTGCATGTTCTCCCCGTGTCTGCGTAGGTTTCCTCCGGGTACTCCGGTTTCCCCTACCACTAAAAATATGTACAATAGGTCTGGCATGCGCCTCCTGTTCGGCGACCCCGCTCCCATCTCTGTGTGGAGTGAGAGGACAAGTGCCCAAAAATAACAATTGTAAACCGCTTTGTGACTCTGGTCTGTGAAAGGCGGTATATAAACAAAGCTTACTTACTTACTTACTTACTTACGATGTAAGCTAGATGTGTTCACCCGGGCTTGATTTCTTCCTTGATCATTATTTCGCTTTAGTTCCCTCTTCTCTTCCTCACTGTTGTCGTTTGGGCTGTTTTGCTGTGTCTGCAGTTACAGCAAGAAGAGTTATAGCCAATTCTGCTAACATGCTACTGTGTTTACATGCGCTGTAGAGGCTAGAGGACGCAGCGTGTTCGTAACAGCGACGCTCCTTGTTCTGTGACCGGAGGAGGATAAGCAATATTTGAAATAATAGCCCCGAGCGTCACGCTAAGTCTCTACTCAGCACTTTTTACGGCCTGAATTCATACACAAGCTTAATCAATGAGCTCAAGTTTTCAAATAAATTACGGACTATAATGTAGTAATAAGCATTTTAGTGAACTCATTAAAAACAATCGGGTATGGCATCTTTAAAGTAAAGGTAAAGGTGAAGGTGCACTTGATTTATTCCCGTAGGTCAATTCATCCTCTGCATTTGACCCATGCTTATGCCACAAGGCTTTTGTCAGGAGCAGTGGTCGAAGTAGTACAGCGCCCGAGGATCTCCAGATGATGATGCTTGGCTTGGCCAGGACTACCGCAGCTGAAGGATTTAACCTATTGTACAGGTTTTTAGTGGTAGAGGAAACCTACGCAGACACAGGGAGAACGTGCACACTCCATTCAGAAAGATCCTGTTACGACTGGGATTTGAACCCTGGACGTTCTTGCTGAGAAGAAAGAGTGCTATCCACTCAGCCGACTTTAAAAAAAAAAAGGCAAAGGTACTTCAGTGGAACAGCATTATCCTGCCTGGTACCTGTCCCCAAGTTAGCAAGGCCGACAGTATGCCCATCCCTGCTCTACACCATGGCTATTGCTGTCACCGCGGGGCATGACTGCTATTGTTTCTCCACACCCCAGAGATGTTTCTCCGTGACATAACGAGCAGTATGGCATGGCTAGGCAGAGAGCTGCACTACAACAGTTCCTCCAACTATATAACTGCCCCGCTGCCTTCCTCCACCTACTCTGGTCGTTCCAACACAAGCCACAGCTCCTGGTAAACCAAAGTACCTGGATCTTGCTCACTGCTGCCGGGCCCGCACAGCCTGCAACTGCCTTTAACTATCTCCGGAGCAAGCCCCTTTCCAGAACCAGCCCTGGTTTTTGAAAGCAACATTGGGGGAACACTGGGGGAAAAAAAGTATTAGGTTTGCCACCAGTTGTGCAAGTTCTCCCATTTAAAAAGATCAGGGAGGCTTGTAATTTTGATCATAAGTATACCTCGACCTTGTCTGATTTTTTAATTATTTATCTGCAAATTATGGTGGAAAATAAGTATTTGGTCACCTACAAACAAGAAAGATTTGTGGCTCTCACAGACCGGTAACTCCTTCTTTAGGAGGCTTCTCTCTCCTCCACCTGTTACCTGTATTTGAGTGGCTGCATAGACTATGCAGCCGCTATATGCTATCCTACTGTTTCTTCTTCTTCTTACATCTTCCGCCAGATTTTGGCACTTTTCAACTCCTCAACACTTTCACCAAATTATACATCGTTACGACCGGCTTCACCGTCTAATTACTTCTATCACTTTTTAAACTTCCACCTGTTTCTAATATTTACAAAAGTACAAGCACTTTTTCCCATTGACTTACATGGTAGCAGTAGAACAGATTGTTCCCCATTCAACACATTACCACACTAACAATTAATTACAACAAATACAATACATTACAACATCTTACAACACTCAGAGAATCTTACAACATTTACTGCACTTTACAACAATTACAGCACCTTACAACAATTACAGCACCTTACAACAATTACAGCACCTTACAACACATTCAGCACCTAACAACACATTCAGCACCTTACAACACATTCAACACCTTACAACACTTTTCATACTTTACAACACATTCAACACCTTACCACACATTCAACATCTTACAACACATTCAGCACCTTACAACACATTCAGCACCTTACAACACATTCAGCACCTTACAACACATTCTGAGAGGATAGGATTATTCCAACAAGGACCAGGGTCATCTATAACAATGACAATCCCTGGTTAACTGCTGAACTCAGCCAGCTCAGACAAGCAAAGGTGTCCGATTTCAGAGAGGGGAACTGCAGCGGCTACAAAGCGGCTTATTATAAATTCAGGAACTGAAAGCAGCAAGTCCCGGCACAGAAAACGTCTACAGAAGCAGTTTGCAAACAACGACCCTGCTTCTGTTACAAACTACAAGCCTAAAGCCCCCCTCTGTGCTAACAATCACAAGCTGGCTGACCAGCTGAACCTATTTTTCAACCGCTTTGTCGTTGCCCCACTGCTCTAACGACCCACCCATCAGCTCTGCCCCCACCCTGACAATAGCTTCAGAAGATATCAAACGACTCTTCTCGAGGCTGCAAAGCCCCCGGAACAGGGCTGTGTACTTTCTCCCCTGCTCTTCTCCCATCCTACACGGCCATCATCGAGTCCATCCTCACCCCATCCATCACCGTGTGGTTCGCTGGAGCCACAGTCCCTGACAAGAAGAGACTACAGCGCATTGTGCGCTCTGCGGAGAAGGTGATCAGCCGCACCCTCCCATTGCTGCAGGACCTGTACGTTGCTTGTGCTCGCGGGCGGGCTGGTTGTAATCACTGCTGACCCCTCTCACAACAACAGCAATAACAACAACAAGGTGTTCTTCATTGCCCTAAATCACATCAGAAGTCATCTCAGAGGACTTAGCAAAACCATCGAAATCACCTACACAGATCAGACAACGGGACAACGGGTGAATAGCAATGAACACACTACAGTCAAAATCTTCATAATGCACCAAGTGTGTAAACCAAACCAGACAAACAGCCTAACCATATGCTAAATTAAAGTAGACTATTCCAACCACTCCCCCTCAGACAGTGGCACTTTACTGCACTCT